TATTTTATACATTGTGTGCATATATTTATATTTGATTGTAATTAAAGATTTTAAGGCGTTAGTGCCGAGTAATGCCTCTGGGTAGTGCTCCTCAATCAAAGACAACAGTAACTAGTAAAGTAGTAAGTAACTAGTAAAGCTTCTGTCTGTCCTATAATTATTCGGAGCAAGATATTTAGGAGACAAAATAGTCCCACTCTTAGCGTAGCACTCTGGTACTCGTATAGGTTAATATTTTACATGCCTTAAGTAACACTATAAAATAGTGTTACAGTGTAGCAGTAACCCGTCTTCTTACCCAAATAATTAACTTTAAGGAGGCTTCTCATCAGTAGCTGCACCTCCTTTCTCGGTTTCTGATCTGGAATTCTATGGGCTTCCAGACGGCCAGACCGAGTTGCACAAAAGCCCAGTGATCATATTGTTTATAAACAAATGTAAATATTTTGAATTTTCCACTTAATATGATTCAAAATGGTTGGCCAATGATCTGTCGAATACTATGTATCATATAAATATAAATAAACAATATTAAAGAATTTACCGTAAGAAAGTTAACTTTGTAATACGTTTATGCCATGTTACAATGTTACATAGTGCCCTATCACTCGTCTGGTATGAATAAAATGTGCCTAGAGAGACTATTTAAATAATCAGAACCTATTAACTTAACTTGTATACGTTTCGGTTTAGTTTAATTTACAATTTACTTGGGTGGAAGCTCTCTGTCGATAGTCTCAACTATATCCTCTACTTGGGGAGTTAAATGGTTTTTAAATTGCAAACTTGTCTGCAAGTTACTAAGTTAAAGTTACCTGGTTAGTTATATTATATATTTGTGCTCAGTCACTGGCAATAACTGTCGTTCTACTTGAGTCTGAGACTGAAATTAATAAGTGACTCCGGCAGGAGTTGGACTTCAAATCAATTTCTGCTGCTGCTGCTGCTACTGTCACGGTCATCTTGGGAAGCATTACAGATTGGTATTTCACCATACTTTTAAATTTGGAATGACTCCCGCTATCTGACAGATGGCATAATTTGTTTCTGCCCGGAATTTTTGCAGGATTCAGATTAACAATAATTTGTTCCCATTTTGTCGTCTCTTCTTGATAATATGTTGTAAGTTACCTGTGCAGCGCCCAGGGGTTTTAATGGTTTATCCACCAAGTAGGCGACCGGCGTGCTTTTGATATAAAAGCATGTCTGCTGAAGTATTAGTAAAGGAGTGGGGTTGAATGCTTAGACTGGCTCATTATGTTGCCAGTTACGTAAGTTGAGATAGCGGTTATCGAAAGTGCATCACACTGTAATCTTACAATTTACAGTGTAATTTCTCCGGCCTAGTAGAATAGTCATACCAGAAATCCACTGTAATAAGTTATGCAAGATCAATTATTCATATTTAAGACCAATTATTTCGGCCTGTTTCTAGGATAAGATCCATAACAGCTGATTCCCTTGTTACGCTTATAGACCAGTTTGGTTTGGTTTAAACAAGTTACCATATTCATACTTTAACTAAGCTTTTCTTATACAATTTCAAAATTTTTATCATAATTGATTCTTAATAAGCCTCGAAGCTTCCTCCTTAAAGATACTTTCCCATATTGTGAACAGGAAACAGCGAATTTAGCTATTTATTTAGGACGTAGTGGAGCCTCTGAATATATATATAATAATTAATAGATAACGGAATATGCGCATGTTATGCGATTTAATAAGAAGAAAATATGGATACAATTCAATCGATTATCTTTCTTCCGTTGGGATCAGTCAATCTTCCACTCGTTATAGAACCTCGAAATTGGAGAACTTTTCAAAATTTTGAGTATTTATGCTCTATCAAAACTTTGGTTGGCTATTAAGTTAGTCAAAGGTTCATTACGTCTCGTTAAATTTGGGTCACAAACAATATAGTAAGCAAGTAATAATAGTAAGCAATTTTAATAAGTTCGTTTAAATTAATTGTTATAATAAACATATTATACATGTGATGTATTATGTTGTTGTCGATTAGATCTGAATTGTGACTGTTGTCGAGATTCGACATCAGGTCTCAGGACTTACTCCCTCGCATTTCTTAATCGCTTATCTAGGAATAAAAACGCAATCAATACGATATGAGCTAGACAGTGGACGCGTCTTTGTTGCGAAAAATATCATTCGGCAGACTGTCAAGAAAATGCATATCTGTCATGTTGAGCAATAATTTCGCTTATTTTCTGCTTAAAGACTTTCATGGCATGACTTTTAATAAACCGAGCTCTGGTAAGTTTAGAGCTTCGTGTCGGATAACCTGCTCCAATTTTGTCAATTCTGCTGCTGATACTAAAAGTTCAATAAAAGTTTTGACTGCGATGATATTTTGTAGACATGTGTGATGATGTATGAATTGTCTCTAGTGAACCAATAAAAAGGTTAACTTACTTTAGTTAAGTAGTTTCTCACGTCAAAGTTGAACGATGGTATTAAGATTCCAGTCGATTAGTCCAGCGATCGCCATACGATTTACACACTGTGACGCGAGTCTTGTTAACCATCTTCGTAAGACATGGTCACAATTTCCCGACGGGCACAGTTCACTACTACCAACTGGGGTCTGGGCGCCCTCATTTTCGCAAGCTGCAAAACTTTTCTTGCAGATTTGTAGTATCCCATCGCCATTCGCTAATTTTACTTTTTGTTATAGTAATTTCTAGAACATTACTGATGATTCTTATTTTCAAGATGAATGTTCAAAATACCTGATTATCACGTTGTTGCGACAAAAGAAAACTTGCGTTACCCTCTCCTTCGTCGTAATTACTCGACAATTTGAGATTTAGGACACTCATCTACTGTAATACTTGTAATGAACGGTGAAATTTTTCGAATCGAATAACCTAGGTTTTTATGCTGAATAATGCAAAATACACCTTTCAGTAGTACATAATCGTCGTTTACTAAGACCCGAACCACAGGATTCATGGGGGCACATCCTTTACGGCGTTGATTTCTCTCCACTTACTTAAGGGGGGGGGGGGGGGGGGGGGCAATGGGTATTTTTTGTGAAACTTCAGAAAAAAAAATATATTCAGAATTTGAGGCCTAAATCAAAAATCCGTTCTCAAAATAAGGTCGAAATGCGATTTCGAGTCGATTTCGAAAATTTCATGCAAAAATTTTGAAAACTGATTGAGTTGTTACAATTTTAATGAGATCAATTCCGCGAATATCGCGAACCAAGATACGGGCAATTTAGTTCGATTTTTGTGGTTTTTTCGCCTTAGTATCCACATTTAAACAGATATAAAGCTATAACTTACAGAGAATACGTAGTTTAGGCTTACCTTTCACATAAAGTATGTTTCATTCAAAAATATTGATATTTGCCCAATTTATGGGACGAAATCTACCAAATTTGGTGCGTATGACCAAATATGGGCATATGGTTTTTTGCTCATAACTCAGTCATTTTTTGTACAATCTGGATACGAGTTCAGGAGACCACTAGCTACAAGTAGAGCAGATAAAATATGGGTATGGGGCATGTTCAGGGTATTTGGCTAAATTCGGCCTAATTTGGACCAAATATGGGCGTGGCTGCCCCGCGGGTACCGTTTGGCGGTTGGGGTCCGGGACCCCCTCAAAAGTTCTGTCACTGGTCCTAGTTTGTTGGTCAACTGCTATCTCGAAATCAAGTTTCACAAAAAAATACCCATTGCATTGGCTCTCCCCCCCCCCCCCCCCCCCCCTAATATTATGCAAAATACACCTACTTTCAGTAGTACATAATGATAAACGACGTTTTCTAATAAGACCCAGCCCACACGGTACCAGTTTTATGGAGCATATCCTTTGCGGCGTTTCTTTCTCTCTTCACTTACATTTATCACACCTTACCAAGTACTATGATTATCTTTAGTCAGTGAACTAACACCATGTCTATTCGGAATATACAGGGGGCCAAAAACCAGTACACATACGTTGGGTCTTAAAGGACCAGTCGAATATGATCTGAAAGGATCACGCGAAACGGATTCAAAATGAAGATTTTATCTCGTTAACAAAATTTCGTCCAGAGCAGCAGTATATGTAGTGTAGTACTGACAGTAGTTACACAACTCGGAATATTATACAAATATAATAAAAGTATCATGATATAATACTAATATAATATTATAAGCATATAAATTATAATATAATAAGAGTATTATTGTCACTATTATTACGCGTACCCGGCTCCCTCAGGACATGAAACATCACATTAGTTAAAACTCATCAGTTAAAACTCGCCAAATATAATATTGTGTTTTATTTCGCTGAACTGCAGCTTGGGAGAGCACGAAACCCTCGCTCGTATTAAACGACAAGCATAAATTCTGTTTCAAGGAAACAATGGTGAATGGGTAATATTCTGTTTTGTAAGCGTTTATATTTTGATGTCATGAACTTTTCGCATTTTTTCAAAAAATTACCGTGGGAATCAATTATACAGTCTGTTTTAAGAATGGTCCGATTTCAGTGATACATTTGCGACGTTTGATAATGAATAATGACCAGTTATATCAATACCGAACTTCGTGTCCCATCTCATTCTTAACATACCATTGTGTTGTTCATACTTCCTTGCTTGACTGTTTATCTGTTTTGATAGTGAGCATTTACCCCAACGTATAGCGTTAAGTAGTTTTGTCGAAGCTAGAGGAAGTAACTGAACATCTTGATTACGATATTTAATTCCCGACTGTCTCGCTAACACTTTATAAATGGCCACACGTAAAGTTGATCTTCATCGTTTTTAACTGCTGCGTTTAGTTACCTAGTTTTAATTTTGGAAGCTCTATCAATTTATTCGTTTACCGTAATATATTTATGTTCCAAGGACACAACACTTTTGTGTCTGGTAATTTAACAAGTTTTCTTTCTTGAGAATCGGGGTTACGGCGATAACATTTTTGTTATTTCGTCAATACCATAATACATATATAATGAGCAATTCGTATTCACTCAGGATAATAAATCAAACGACAATATGTCAACGACAAGTTCCTCCCCTCAAACCACGGATTACGAGGATTTCCACGCTACTCTGAACTCCGACCTAGACACTCTGTTCGGGGTCATCTGCTGCATCTGCTTCCTTTCTGGAACATTCGGCAATGTCGCTGCCTTCTTCTTCTTTAAATTCTCTAAGAACAACGTGCCTCACTCCATCTACAAGATCATAACAGCGACAGATTTCTACATTTGTATGTGCATTCTGCCGGTGGGTATTTGTTACCTGATGGATCGGAGTCCAGGTATCTTGTTCGGAACCACTGTTCCCTGCTACATCTGGGGGTACACTTGGAGCATTGTTGGGCGGCTCAGTGTCTTCCTGGTGGTGGTTCTAAGTACAACCCGGACTTGCCTGGTACTGAAGCCTTTTTACACGGTGAGAATCAAGGTGGTCATTGGATTCATCGTCGGGTATTTTCTGATCCTGTTGATACAGATGCTGCTGATTCAGTGGTTCACCAAGGCTAAAGTCGTGTACAAGAGACCATTTGCAGAGTGTGTTTTCTTCACTGACAGCTCCAAGGACCTAAAGCACAAAGCTCTCTACTTCATAGGCTACACCGTGCCCTTCATCGTCCCAATGTTCTTTGTTATCCTAAGCTGTGGACTGACGATCTGGGCGATTGCGATAAAGCCCAGGAGGAACGACTCCCACACGAAGGTCCAAGCTGCTTCCAGTGCCAGAGTAACCATGACTATTGTCATCTTCACTCTCGTCTATTCTCTCTTCAACATTCCACTGGTCTTTGACAGGCTTCTCCTGGCTATCCGCGATCTTTTCGAGGTCAAAGGTTTCGAGAAGTTTCATAACTTTACAAACGTCGAGTACTATCTGAACTTTACGTACAGTATCAGTGTAGCGATCAACTCCGCACTCAATCCCTGGCTTTACTTATGGCGGATGGCAAACTTCAGAAGGTTTCTTTGCGATCTGGTCCATCGGCTGCTGCCTGCACGGTGTCAGAATGCGGTCGGGTGCAGTCCTGGGAGTTATCGCACAGCTGGTAAGCGGGGTAGTACACTGTTTGAGACCACGTCTTTTATTGCCTGAGACATTTACTTGTGCCTGCGATCAATTACAAATTTTCCCAATTTGTGGCAGTTTGCTACATAATTACTTACTTTAGGTGGGTACAACAAGATCGATTCTTGACAACTGGTCGCTTCTCGGCGGTATCTACAATCCCACAGCCAGAAAGATGGCAAACAGGCAGATAATCTGCGAGGAAATTTTGGATTTTGGAAGAAATTTGGTGCCAAAGAGGAAATTTTTAGAAGACCTGACTTTTCTGGGCAAATAATGGCTCAATGGCTACTGTTGTAATTAAGTGATTAAATAGCTGCTAATAAATTTTTTGGGGGGAAACATTGATCTGCAAGGAAATTTGAAACTGTCTGGATGTGGGACTACACCCTTCGAGACCACGTCTTTTATTTCCTGAGACATTTACTTTTGCCCGCGATCAATTACAAATTTTCCCAATTTGTGGCAGTTTGCTAATAATTACTTTAGGTGACTACAGCAAGACCCGCTTTTCGACATGTGGTCATTTGTCGACAAGTGTTCATTTCTCGACAGTTGGTCGCTTCTCGACCGTTGGTCGCTCCTCAAAAGTCGACAGTATCATTATAAATGAAGGAGAGAGTTGTTAGCGATGGCTGTAGAAGAGACGCCCGTCTAGATTTTGGCTTGTTTGACACTTTTTAGTGTCCTTAATTTTTCTTTTTCGGGCCATTTCTTACTGAAAACTAGTAGTTGGTTCTCAAGCATTCTTTTTCGCTGAACAATTCCGCTGTTTTAACATTGTGGCAACAACACAAACTTTCAGAATTTTTCTTTCGAGAATTGATTTTATGTTTGTGACCCGATTGGATATTACTATCTGTCAACCCTATTTTTGTCTTTAATCTTTTGTTTGAACTTTGTTCCCTATTAATTACTGTAAATTTACAAAATGAAGGACATTGTGGCAATGTTATAAATCTGACAAATTCAAGGAAAATTACAGTTTTCGTTCCATCCTAATGGAGTGCTTGATCATGTCATTGACCTCAAATCAAACGTATCTGTGACCTTGACCATTAACCTAATTGTATTCCAGATTCAGTGTTTGGAGTTCACAGTGGACGGGTCATACCTACTATCGGTGGGAAACTATAAAGAAAACGCTCTGGTCCTGTGGGATTCAAACAACTGGGCAGTTCACACTGTCGCTAAGGTTGGATTTCTTTCATATTATCTTCAGCTTTAATTTTACTGTTAAGACAAGATTCCAATCTTATCGTGTTGATATACTTGGTATGTTTGTGTTTATTTGCATTTTTAAATCATTCGAATAGAAATTGTATTTAGTTTCTGTTTCTGTTTTTGTTTCTGTTTCTGTTACTGTACGAGTAAACTGTAATAATATTGTTCAGACTGAGCATTATGTCCACGCAGTGGCGTGTGACCCACAGAACGCTACTGAGTTTGTAACAGCAGGAAAATGTGTCCAGTTCTGGATTCTAGATCACAAACAGGAACTGAGCGTGGCTACCGGAACACTTCCTATGCAGTTTATTAGAAGGTTTGTGTTTACGGTTAATGGTTTTCATGCATGGTCTTCCATCATTTCTTCACGAAAACCAATTTTAACGATCCTCTAACTTGAGATAATATCACCAGACACAAGCTAAAGTTCCATTACTCAGTATTGGAGATGAAGCAGAGTTCACAGCTGTGACTTACACTGACACAGGCATGGTCTACATAGGAACTAACACTGGGTATGTGACCTTGTGGGACCCCAGATCGACTGCTTGTATCCTGCATTGGTCCGCTCACCCGCAGGAGGTTGATTTGCTGTGGTATCAGAACGCTTCCCTCGTTTCAGGTGGGTGTTTTAAAGAGTGTTGTCTAGACAGCCATTTAACCGGGATAACTTGCTTGTATTGGATACCGAGGGAAGTAAAATGTCAATTTCGATAATCAAATTTAGCTCTTTTAATGGGCTTGTTGAATGTCTAACGGAATCGTTCTCTCCCGATACTAAATAAGACTGAAATCGAAAACATTTCAGGTGGAGTGAGCAAGAATCTAAAATTATGGAACATACAGAAAACCGACGCTGATGACACCTCTGTCATGCTACACGATGAACTGGAGTTTGATGCAGCAATAGTTTCCTGCGTTATGGACGAACAAATGAATTTAGGTAGGCATAAAGCAAGCAACCAAGTAGTGTCCTTGTGAATGTAGAGCCCAGAGTTGCCCCATATGTAACGTCCGGTAACAATTCGCGTAGGATTTGTATTTTATGGATTGCGCGAGCAGTAGCAGAGTGTTCAAAGTCAATGTCAGCGCTCTGTTCACATGTTTTGAAAATGTGCGATAAACCGCTAAAATATCATTGGCTTCATAGCGCGCCGGATCGATCGGTTTAAATTACAAGGTCCATTTTTTACCGCATCTCCCATCTTAAATATTATGCTAATGGGACATAGGTATTAGGTATGAGCATAAACAGTGTACAATCTTGTAAAGTCGTCTGCTCATAGACCCAAATAAGGTGGCTGTTAAAACTTAATCAAACCTTGTAGCGCGATGCACTACTGGGTCGCGCGCGCATCAAATAATGCTTCTCGCAACCACTTCGGTAGATCGGCGAGATGCACCACTGCCTCACCGAGCTGCGAAGGATTGACATCGTGAATCAAAATCAAACCCTAAACTGCTGTAATTAATATAATAGTCCATTCCGGTCGAAGATCTCAGTGAAATTATAACTAAACAATAAATATGGCCCATGATTCAAGATTTTATCAAATAATTTAAATGAATGAGGTTAAAATGTTCATCCTACCTACTGTTTGTTCCTTTATTGTGACTGCTACACGTAAATCATTATTTAACAGTGAAGTAAACTGTATAGTAGAAAGTAGGAACTACGCACTACGTAGCGCCTTAACTGTAAACTTCAGAATTTAGACTCTTGTTAAATCGAGCGCCACTTAAAATTTTTAGCTTCCTTAGTTTATAATTTAAGTATGGTAGGTTCCTTGGTTTATGATATAAGTCTAAAGATTTAACTTGATATGTGCAATTCCTGGGGCTTGTTAAAGTTCCCATTTATTCTCAATCCTTGGTTACTGAATATGCTGATGTCCAAATCGAAACTAAATGAAGTTTGAGTAGTGAATGGCCCTTTTTCTGTTAAATTCTTCAATTAATTAATCATGAATAATAAAGATTTAAATAAACCACAGATATTAGCATATGAATTAATTGGGAGAGAGACATATCCCCATTTATAATTGAGACCATATTACATAATGTTAAAATTACTTCAATAGCCATTTTACTGAAACTTCGCTTCACATACGTTTTAATACAACTTTCTTGTATATTTATGACCAGCAAGCTCCACGTGTACAGTCATTTTTCACTCAAGAATTATCTTCTACCTAAAAAATTCCTTATTCCTAGCGAAAACTTTAAAAGTTTGACCTCCATTACTATTCTTCTTATCGGAAATATTTTGAACGTATTTTGTCCCAGGTATTGTCGGCACTACGTCTGGAACACTCTGGTATGTGAACTGGGAGGAAAAGACATCCATCCGACTTGTTGGCGGACATCCTGATCAAGTCAACGACATTGCATTCAGTTCCGGGGACACTTTCGCAGTAGCAATCGAAGATGGAAGTCTCAGACTTTGGAACTACGGTAAATATACGGTTTTTGCTGGACTGTATTGCAAGCAGTCCCGTACATTGGTATTTACTCTCAGGAATTACCCCTGGGCAGGAGATTGGTTATTACAGAAATAGTATTAAGAATATTCAGCAATGTTTTAGATGTGAACTGATCGACAAAAAAGCTTGCAATTGATACTGAGCTACCCTTAATTCTTGAAGTTAAGTGTATTTAGCTTGAGTTCAGACCGCTCCTCTCCCTCGCTAATGACCCTAATGATCGGACTCCGCGGTAATTTTTCTCGACGAGCCCTAACCTCAATTTTATCACGACAATTCGTCTACTTTTTATGTTATTATGTAATAGGCATGGGAATATTGTATCTAAAACCGACACTTGGCAACCGTCATTCAGCTTTTCGGTAAATGTAATTATGAGGTTGAAGGAAAAGTTTTATGATTTATCACCAAAATCAATTGTGGCTTATCAAATTTTCTTACTTTAAGCTTTTTTCGCATTTCCAGTCAGACTCCAGAGTCATTATACAAATAATCATGTTTTTTTAAACCAGGAAACTCTGTCCTTTCTGCGGAGAACATTTTTCTCTGTCACGGCCGGTTGATTTCGTTTTGAGATAACTAATTTCTGCAGTCTGTAGGGCTCATTTCCTAGACTAATTTACCCTCCAGACTTTTTAGCTTCATATTATCATACCAACAAATTACATCATCGTCGCCTTGCATTTTCACAAAATGCGCCAGACGATTCCCTTCCTACCTACGTCAAACACAAAACACAGCCCGCCTCCTTCACTTGGACGTGAACGTAGTCAGCATATAATATTAATGCGTCCCAGTCGTCCTCGGCTGGAGTGTCGTCACCGCTACTCAGACACAATCACTTATCTGTCTAAATTATTCGCCTAAACGGTCCATACAGTGGCTGCCTACTTCCGGGTAACGTTGACAGAAATTGAGAGCCCTACGTCTAGACCAGGTCCGGATACTGATCATAGACAGGTGCAATATATTATAAAGGAGTATTTGTCAGTTTACCGGTCTGTTGAGTGGCTTACTCCCGCCACTATTGTTATCTTGCAAAGTGGCGCCTGTCAGTGGGTAGTGAGTGGAACGACTGTACATGTGAAATAACGATTCAGTTAAAAGTTCGTTATTTAGCCACAAGATCGGAGGGGGGATTAGCGTTAGAGGGTTTTACAGAGAGGTATAAATCTGGTAAACCTACCGGGATGATGCCCGGTAAACTTGGCTAATTCTTAGTTTGAATAATATGCTGTTTTACGCGGGTTACCGCTGGAAAAAGATTAACGGTGACCCGGAAACGGCTACTTGAATTTATTAAAGTGCAAACTTTTTCTTAATTAACACCTCCATAGGTTACCCAAGTGGCCGGTGGCCAGAAAATTCCGTGATTTACACAAGTTTCTGCGGGGAACACAAAACCAAAGATTAAAACCTGGCCGAACTAGAGTGGCGACACAACGCGATCCTAATTATTTCAGAACCACTACACTTCATCCTCAACTCTAACAACCATTCCCTCAGAGCCGCTGGAACAAGCAGTCCAGTTTCAAGTTGTGAGCGCCTCCTGCACATGCATAGTGTTCCGTCCGGACGACAGTACACGAATCAGTGCCGGTTATGGAGACGGCACAATCAGGACTTTCGACCTGGCCAGTGTGGCTATGATCTGTAAAATGGCACCTCACCGACAAGCCATTACAATCTTGAGATACTCACAGAATGGTGAGTTGTCCAAGTAAAGAGTTTTCTCTTTAATTATAAGAATTAGCGCGAAAATCAGTGAGGATTTACTTGCTCTTCTGGAAAATGAACTGAGTTGCGATAGTGTTCCAAACTTTATTGGGGATTAGTGAATGAGTAGAGTTTCCCTAATGTCACCAGTTCATTGAATTACAGAAAAAAAGGCTCATAAGTTAATTTTAAAACCTGTGCCCTTTTTCGCGGACTCCCTGTCTGTGAACAGCTTCTGACTCTCTGGAGCTGTGCGATTAATCACAAATATTTAAAAATGTGGCAGAAATTCAGAATACCATGTTCCCGATCCGAGTCTCGCACATCCGGCTGGCTAACTTCCCCACAACATCTGGGCACGTACTGGTTTCACACAGTATGACCTGTTAAATGGCTCTGACTAATGCCCCTCATGCCCGATCTGTTATAACACATTCCTGGCACAGATCCAAAACACGCTGACTTTCAATTGTTCTGGTGGCTGTTGAACGTGGTTACAGGTATTTGTTCAATCTCATGATTTGTCAATAGCCTAGATGCTAATGAATTGTACCTGATTACATTAGCCGAGCTGTGCACTGTTCTGAGTTCTCCCAATATTCCCTGCTAGCTTCCCGCCGTATATTTCAAATTCAGCCAGGAGATTAGGGGCCCGAGTTTAATTTCCAGGTGTGTGACGTGCATGGGCTACTGTAATACTCATAATGTTTATTTAAAGACATAATCATATCAGAAATGTTTTGCGAATCATCACAATTTGTGGTTCTTACTAAATGGCCAATTTCAAAATTTGTTGAAATGGAGTGGAGATGGCTACCCAGCTGTTCTGCCATTTAGTGGGGTCCCCTTAATTTGATGTTTAGAGTGAGACCTTCCCGGTAAGTGAGCTAAGGAGTTAAGAATGATTTGCACCACTGGTCAGCCGTCAGGTACGGGATTCAGAACAGATTCTCGGAACTAAGTATCTGCCGTGCTATTGTCTCGACGCCTTGAGGGACTGGGAACAGGAATTGCTAAAATTTGAAACTTTAAACATAGTGTTTAGTGACCTGCTAGCCATACAGTCTGCCGAGAAATGCTCAGGGCGGGTAATTCGGTTATTTTAGAAGCATGTCTGTTATTTCGGGATTACAGGAATTATAGGCTCTTCAAGTATAAGCTACTAATATGAAACTCATGAAATCATCACGGAGATACTATTAAAGGTACTGAGCTTCACAATTTAGAAGACTTTTGCGTTCGCAACTTTATTTACTAGCAGATTTAAGCATGCTATGGAATGCCGACTAAAGAATTAAAGTAGATCAGCTAAGTTAAAAGTCTTGATACCACCAATATCTGATATTTAGGTATACTCTATAAATAGACGATAAAGAGCAAAAGTGCTTTAGATATCCAAACTTGGATTTCCATTTATTTGTCTGGTCTGGAAATCATAAACTTTACAAGCAAATAAACCTGACACAAACCCCCTTCTTCAGGCCAGGTGTTGGTGTCAGGGGACAGCAACGGCTTAGCTTCAGTCATCAACTCGGAGACAGGCCTAATCATGAGAGTAATATCGGATCACAAGAAGAGTACTGCTGCTGTGACCTCCCTCAATTTCAGCACTTTGTCCCCGCACTGGTTGATTGCCACTGCAGACCGTCGGGTCAGTGTTTGGGCTGCAGACTGGGTGAGAAATTTGTTTTGGGACACTTATCCGCTTTTACGAATTCCGCCTGACTAACGGACATTTACAATTCAATTTCATTAAAACTATTTCCCTTTTCTGCGTGCGCCCCCGTACGCAATTTGTCATATTGTGTCAGCAGCATTATTTTCAGGAAACAGACAATAACAAGATGATTTGTTGGCTCTCGTTCCCAGCCCCCTCCTTCACTCCCTCTGGAGATCCAGTAGATAAAAACAACTACAGATCCCTCCCTCCCTCTCTAGCCCTCTTCTCCCCTCTTGAACGAGACACCATCCTTTACGCAGGATACGGACTCCTTCAGGAGATCCTGTTCTACAATTTCAAAACCAAGGAGACAGTCCGCAAGATAAACCTAGCACACTGGGCTACAGCCCTAGATATCATCCCCAACTCTAACCTGATTGTTATTGGAAGTCACGACCGGTTAGTTACCATAGTGGACTATACCAGCGGAACATTCCAAGACTTTGTGGCCCATGATAATGAGGTGGGTATAGCTGGGTATTGGGAGAAAAATAACGTGGTGTGTTCCGGGTCGGGTGCAGGGATTGCACTGTGGAATGTGAAGGTCTGAGAAGGTATTTCCTTTGGAATGCAGGGGAATCAGGTTTCAGAGGGGAAGTATAGTTAAAGAGTTGGAGAAATGGATTGCTGGAACAATAGGACAATTAAATTGTAGAGAGAGCGATGGTGTTTAAATATACTGCTCAACCGTAGGTTTACAGTGTATAGTGCATGTACATATTTAAAGGTTAAACTTGAATTTATTATGCAGTATATTTTCAGGGTTATCACATTAATTTTCAGACACATCAGAATCAAATCAGTGAATGATGATAATTTGGCTGGGCTTTGATATTTTATATGTTCTTTATTTTGAGCAGTGATTATTAATTGTATTACTTAGCTTTATAATGTTGCGATCAAATCATGACTTTTGACGGGCAATCAATAAATTTTTTATGATTTTTTCAAATATGACAGTATGTACATTTGTATTTATATGTTAAACTTATATTATTTAACTTTGCAACATTTTGCTTTTGAAATTGAGTTCTATAATTTGTATTCAATCTATACTTGAAACTAATTAAAACTCTACAAATGTATGACCATCAAAATGATGTTTTCTGGAGAGTAAATGTCGCTGTTTTGATGAAAACTTTAACCCAGGAGATGCGGATTACTGTGAAGGAATGTAGAAGAATGGTATTTATTATAACCATCAGACTCAAAGACACGCAGTCAACAGTCTGTAAGTTGATCCGGTTTTCCTTGTATTTGGACATATTTTGACACGAATAGACGAATACGCGGAGGATATGCCGGTATTAGATCACTAATAAGTGACCAGATACACAAGCGGACGGTGGCGCCACTGAAAATCTTGAAACCTAGAGAAACGTTCATTAGATTTAGCTTACAACAATCATAGATTTAAAAGGGTATTCAACAAAATGTGAGACCGGCACCGCTGTTCTTGTCCCTAGGGTCAAATCCCAATTACAGATAATTACATTATCAATCCTTGATCATGATTTGTACAATATATGGCACATTTATTTTCTAATTCACCCCTCTAAAAACCCCTCTTCCTGGCTCGCATCCAGTAATTGAATCCGGGGCGACCAATAGTAGTGCGAGAACAATACAGCCGGATGATTGCCCTGCTATATTATATGTGACTGATTTCCTGGCTCGTGTCCAGCATATAAATCAAGTTCAAATGTTGGCAGAATGCCAACGTCACGAGCTGTATCAAATAGAAGCAGAGCCCCCAAAAACATGAACTTTACCTGAGAGATAATTATACCCATGATCGTGTGGTGTTTATTTTTAGACGTCTAACCTGAGTGTTACTTTTAGCAAACACAATAATAACCCGCTCGTGAGTAGCCACCACTCAGTTCCGTCTCCAGCTGATCAGGACCAGCACATACCGGCACGAGCTTAACTAATTCTTACAATTCCTGGCACTGGAACAGCTGCTCTAACTAGATGAGTTGTCATGACTACAGCTGGACCCCAACAAGCCTGATCAGCGTGTCACCTTTATTAGATAATCGCTCTTTAATCTGATAATGCATCTGAACTACTACCCTGTGGATTAGGTTATCAACCAGCCTGAGTCCGCACTTTTCTTCTATAACTGGGCCGCTCAAACAGTTCCGCATACTTGTTCCTCTGAGTGTCAGTGGGGGAATCTCCGGGCTGAGTGTGTCCTGTCATTGGAGCCTAATGAGAGTTTCACAGTGCTCTAGAACTCAATAACCAGAGGTTCCATAGCACCTCACACAACTCTCTACAATGTAATCAACCTTTTGAGAGTTTATTGCACGGAGATAATTGTATTTTCACAAGTAGGTTACCGGCCAGTTAGCAGCTACCTCTTACTCCGATCGGGTTCGAATTTCCCACCTTTTTTAGGGTTTCAGAGTTGGCACAACTCCAAATCTATTGGGAATATGATTAGTTACCCTAGCAACCCGCTAACTAGTTGGAACCTAAATGTGGTCACGTGGTTCACTTCTTAGAACTTTCGAGTTTTGACACCCCGTGCAGTGGCCCATGTGCAACATTGTCCAGGGAGCTGAAATAGTGCAATTACTTTTTAACACTGGTAACACGGCAACGTGTTGAACAGTTAAAAGATGAGAGCAGTGATGCAGCCTCTAACGCTACTACTCGGATAATAATAGGAATTAGAAAAACGTCACGTCATACATCCCCTGAGGGTATTCGAACTTTTCTTGGGAATGAATGTGAGGGTAGTTATTGCAGCTCCCTCTCAAAAATAACGGGGTTTAGCGCTACAAAATTACTGTAATTTGTACCAGTAAGATCGAATTTGCGCTGTATTATGTAACTGAAATACTGAACACGACAAATTTATAAACCGTTTTGAATCTTCACAGAAATGATTCCATCGTTACGGTCGGAACTTGAAAGTTTCAAACCGTTTTTTGATTCATCAGAACTGACAAAACCTTATTAAATAACTTATCAATGGATTGAATATACGTAACCTTTTTAAAACATACTTACTTTCAAAATCATAAATTTGGCGAATACCAGCATCCTGCCAAGTATTCGTATAACACCTCACTCTTAACTAACATTCCAGGGAATTTCATTGCTGAGCAACGCTTTTCCTACGAAACCAAGAGGAAAAGCAGAATGGTGTTACTGTTAATTTCTCTTCTCAAGCATGACTGCGTCTGCCTGCAACACCACCATTCATCAGAAGTGAATAACGATTAAAAAATAGGTAAATTATTGATTGTAAACTTTAAGGTTTTTAGAATTACATCAGTTTTTTCCCTAGATTTACAACAGTTTTCGGCGTATATTCGATCTCACAATCTAGTATACCAAATACGGTTTATAATTTATTTCCCCTGAATTTCAATGAGATTCTAATTATAAAGCGGTCCATTTCTGATTAAAACCAGTCCGCCTGTCTCCTTATCGTCCTCATAATTAACAGTCTACAACGGAAAAAATTAGATTTTTCCCGAAGAACACTTACCTAATGATTTTTATATCGAAAAATTGAAATCCCTTATCTTTTGAGCCCTATAATTTGTGAATTTGTTATCAGCAAATTGGAAGCGTAAGTAGCATTATCACAGGTTGGTATCTTTATTGGTCGGTTCGGAACCAGGCCCTCTGATTGGCTGGAAACTAGATCATGTGCACTACCATCTTACTCTACAGCCACATTATAATTTGCGAGTGCAGGGGACAATCTAAAATAAAATATTACCAAATTACGGGTCAAGTACGTGCTAAAAGAAACATGGAGTTATTACCCTGATTAGATTTGGATCCTGTTTTCGCTAGCTAATGAGTCAATAGCATTACATGTTTTCATGTAACGTTTACCCCTTATTCACGCTCTTCCACCGTCCCCTGAAATATAAAGAAAATTAGGTTTCATCACAATAAAGCTGTGTTTTATTATATTATGCCATGGTCAGGGACCCTGATTTCTGGAAATTGGTGAATAACGTTTGAATCCGTCGCCAGTAATTGTTACATAGAAACTATCGTGCCTGGTGCCTCCTGGCCCCGGGGTGCTTCTTAAACTTGTAACTTATACTGCATAATTATGATCATAAGTATCATAAGTATCATCATAATGATACATTGCATGCTACCACAACTACTAAGTGTTTCATTACTTAAAGTGTGGCATCTCACAGAAGCGAGCCGACCCACCAGAATTATAGAGTCATGCTCATCCTCCGAGTAGTGCTCCTCATCCAACATATCATTTCTCTCTCTTCCCAGCAAGTAAAAATGAGTGCACTGACCAGTGGTAAACTAGGTGTTATATGTAATGCGGTTAGAATAATGGTTCTGAAGACTAATCTAATTTTCAAAAATCGAATCTGGGGCCACTCACTCCCCCACAAACTTCTATCCAACCTTCAGGTTACTGGCTAGGATATTTGGCTAGACTTTCTCTTTTTTCGGGGTGATCTGTTCCGAAGCAAAACCATCCAGATATGCAAGTTTCGAGTTTTGCGATAGAAAAGTAAATCTAGCTCTTCGGACTATGACCGAATAATAGCCGATTACAGCTAAGCTGTCTCAAAAGTCGAAACTTATGATTACCATAATATAAATTAAGATTGAAGATCGTATTAGTTTAGGATTCTTGGTTGCAGGTTGGAGCCGATAAGAAGTCTGGGATATAACTCATCGTTAAATATTCATGCCTTACATCATTATAATTATATTGGCAGTGTTTCCAATTGATTAGACCATGCTAAGTAGTGTGACAAACACAATTGCATTGATTGCACAGTTCCGGGCAACCTCCAGACTGCTACTTGCCCGCACACTTTCATACGTGACATAATACCATAAAATATCACCAAGTACGTCACCCTGGTTTACCCGAATTAATTTGGACAAAATGATATACGTGACATGATATTCACGGAGCGGAAGTTGTGGTTTGCCACAATATGGAGTACGTTTCCCACACTAATACTGGTGAAGGAGATTATCTACATGTGATTGGAAGTCCGTACACAAACAACCGTCACGTGACCCCTGACAACCATCACGTGACCCCTGACAACCCACGTGACCCCTCATCTGCTGTTCCTACCAACTTGAGGAGGTTTATGAGTGCGTTTGTAAGCACGGGGAATATCTTCCATTTAGTAGACCGTTCAAGCAGATTGTACCCCTCGTGAGCAGGAAATAACATAAGAAGTTTGCAAGTATGATTTAGATCAATCTATTCCCTGGTTTAAACATGTTGCTTTTAAAAGCTTGCAACAATTGCTACTGACCCCAAGTTAATGAATTATATACTCGAGGCTGCATGCCATGTTTGTGTAAGCTTAATACCCCCTAATTGGAATCCTAGCGGCAAATTAGATTTTGATAAAACGACGTAATAACCTACGATTGCGCAGATATAGACTGTATTTAAATAAGATGGGTAAGAACTTGAACCGTGTTATATGGGATACTCCGGACGAGAAGCAGAAAAGCCAAAAGTTGATTACTTCCTTTTTTCGCAATCGATCAGTGGAATAGCACTCAGTCTATCTCTGACCTAGGAGCTCAATTCTTTGTCTACCCACTGATTATACCCACCTAGTTGAACTGACTCACTGTCCACTGATTATGGAATTATACCTACTAAATTACAGTGCGATATGATTCACTGATCTCTTGGACTACACCAGACACCTGAATTTCATTGAAATATCTCAGATGATAAGTTTGTCAAGTTATAAGATTTATGATGGCAGCTGTCAGCCTCTTATTTACTAATGTCCTTATCACCTTCAAGTTCACCTCCTAATCATTGAAACTGCACAAATTACGAAGTC